TCTAACTTTTTAAATATTTAAGAATTTCCTAAACCCCTTTAAATTTTTTTTTTTTTACATTTCGAATCTATAAGTAAGTTTAAGAAACATTCATAAATATTTCAATTACTCGAAACTAAAGTATACTATGCGCCTTGCTGCTCTTCTTATTTTAGTTTTGCGAGCATCGTAAACTGTCAAAAAAATGTAAATGTTACGAAATTCTCAACATTCTGGAAGAAATTCTACAAATCCTTGCCATATAAAATATGCAAATCCAACTCACTTAGCTTGGAAAATGTTTTCCCCCCGCCATCGTAGTTTTCTCTGCGAAAATGCTTCCCCAGTGAGACAGGCGGAGAGACACACCTGAAAATAACTCAATGACTGCCACAAATTTGCCATTTTTATGTGACTCATAAATACGGGCAGCCTTCAAAAGCCCCGTGGGATGAGGAAAGGATATCTGTCCAGGGGTTAAGAAGAGAGTTATGCGGAAGAAACCTGCCGATGCAGGTGAATGTTGGGGAAATAACGTAAAGAAAAAGGCATAGCAAGGAGAGCAACATCACGCATACGCACCGTGGCACTTCGTGGACAAACATATGCAAAATCATTGGCTGAGTATTTGCATACAAATGTCGTACATATGCCCAGACGCCAATGTGTATGTGTATTCGGCAAGTATTTCTGTTGCAATTTCCGGCTAGTGAAGCTGCTCAAAAATTCATGCAACCGTAAAAGGAGCAAAGTGCGCCAATAAGCACAAGGAGGAAACCAAACCAACTTTCGGCAGTCGGCATTTTGCCGGTTTGGCATTTTTGTTGTTCTTTTTTTTATTCGTATTCTGACTTCGTTTTTTGCAGTATTTTACTTCTTGCATATTTCGTAGCGTCGCCAGAAATCGACGGACGTCGTCTCCTCCACAATTTGCATATAAAATATTTTGTGCGAATTACACACACATGCGAGCATCAAGTGCTGGCATCGCATAAATCGCATTTGAATCTGAGTTCTTATTGATTTACGACAGAATTTTTAATAGTTTGGAAATTGTTGCCGATAAATATATTCTATTTATGCATTATTGCATTTCTTGTATCATAAATTCAATGCCAAAGACCAACTTAAATGTGATATATGAGGTCGGCAGATAAATTTTGAAACTTGAATTAAATGCGTGTATCTCTAAGGCCATTTGCCTTTATTTTATGTATTCCCCTTGTACCGTCGCTGGCCCGGCTTTATTTTATTTAAATGTAACCCGAGAATTTTATTTTTTATTTGCGAATAAATCTTTCATGGCCGCAGCCCTGTTGCCAGCGAAATCAATTCACTTGTGAACAGAGCGACAACCGACTGAAAGTGGAATGTTTGCCATAAGAATTGTTCGGGTTCGTGGCATATTTAAATGGCCAACCATTTTTTTGTTTCAATTCGGACCTCAAACAAATCAGAGAAACGGAAATAATTAAATTTTTTGGGAGGCACACACACAACGGTGGCGGGAAAAATACAATTTTTCGCACGGATGCCATGCGGGACCCGAAAAGCCATCAGAAAAATGCATCACGATGGGGATCCTGGTGGGACCTGCTGCCTGCTGCCTGCTCCTTGTGCCACGCCGGATGCCTATGAAATGCAGCTGGTGTGTAAAATGATTTTTGCTCCCTCATTCATTAAAAAACAATTAAATGTGCGACACGCGAACTTAATTACACTTTTACGCGGCCATCGCGAATGACAACAGCAATGATGCCAATGTCGTCTCCACGTCCTCATCCTCATCTCCATACTCTTATCCTGTCTGCCTACCATTTGTGGTTTTTAGTGCTTCCCCGTCGCGACACACTCTTCAACTTGAATATTTTATGGCCTTGCAATGGATACAGGACTGAGGACTAAGGACAGAGGACAGAGGAGCGTTGTCCCTGGACAGCGGCATCAAACAATTTGTATAATCAACAATTAAAGTGCGGATCGGCTCGTGGCCACGCATTAAGTGGGCATTGTCTGGACCGACTCCTCATCCTTTTTGCCTCCTGTAGGGAGATTTTCCAATTTGTACTCGCAGCAAATTGCAAAGTTTTGTTTTGCGGTTGTTTCCATCTTGCCCAGGACTGACTGACTGCCGGACGGATGGGAAAAAACAGACAAAGGGCCCACATTTTCGGACGGCTGTAAACTTCAATTGCGCGTTAAAAATTTCTGCGCAGCGTGTCGCTGTGTTTTTGCAGTCTTAACCCATTAAAACATTCCACCGACGCGGTTGTTGTTGTTGCCATTAATGGCATTAATTAAAAATTCAATTTGTTACAAGACCGTTTAACGCCACACTGTCTGACTTGTTATGCCATGGAATTTTCAGTACTTCAAACCGTTTGATATGCTGTCTCAGATTTGTATTTCAATAGAGTAAGAAGGAAAAGCTGTCAAGGCTATATGATAACCCATTGATACTTGATATCCGGTTCATATTTTAGTGACTTATATTTGACTTTTTGATAGGGAAATGTATTTTCGCTTAGTAACTTTCTCCTTAAGCAACAATTTGAAAAGCAGGTCAAGCTGAAACGCCGCTATTAAATTCCAAGCTCATCCTGCGAAGCCTATTTTTAGCAACCCACACACGCTTTAATTTTTCTATACACTAAAAAAAAACTTATTTACTAACATACTTAAAGGTTGAAAATATAAATTTAAAGCATTTTCTTTCAATTCTTTTTAAATAAAAGAAAGTAAGGCTATTTATTGACAACAAATAGCCTTGAAGTGATTGCAGATTTAGTTTTCCTATCAAAATTATTTCAGTCTTCTATAAAATTACAACACATATTATTTTCTTTAGAGAAATACAATTCAAGTTCAATTATACCTCATTTTAAAGGGTGTATATAATTTCTTTTAGTGTATATATATATTACAAGGATACAAAACACGCACCGAGCGTAATCATGGCAGATGTCCATGGTGGCATAGCTCAACATTTCAGGAACCGAGAACTAAGCTTCACGGCTTTTGGTTTTTGTCAACGCAAGAAATCCCAAAATTAAATACAAAATAAATTGATTTATGTTGGTGTGCAAAACCATTTGACTGTGTGTGTATATACATTTCGGTCTGATTAGCCATTGTTATTTTTGAATATTTACGATCTGTGGGAACTATCTGGTTGGGGTTATGGAGAATGGGGGCAATAACCTCTCATTAATCCAATTAGACATGAGCCATCAAGCGTCACGCATACGCCGCGTGGACCAGTTTCAGCACAGCATGTTTTTTTTTGCCGCTAGTTCATTAGACATCTCCGAGGCTGTTCGCTTCAGTGAGACCTTTATTTATATATTTATTTATTGGACATTTATCATGAAATTACTGTAATAAGTTGGCGTGCCATGATTTATGCCATGAAATTATTTCCACTTGTTTTTCATCCACCCCGCACCACTCCTGTGACAGTATCCTTGCTGGCATTCGCTTTCAAATTATGTTCAGGACTCTTTGTCCTTCATCCTGTATGTATGGATTCCCGTTGATGGCATTACACGAACTGCGGTCAAATCGCACGCACGCCTGGCTCGGCAACATTTAGCTAACTGATTTGTCGCCATTCATTGAAGTTGTCATTGTTGCTCTCGGTTTGTTTTTCGGTTTTCTCTGCGTTTTCCGACGATGACAAAGGAGGCGGTGGCCACTGAAGCCACTGCTGGTAAACTGGTTTGTCTTGTTAGCGCTCTGTCCGTCGACATGTGTGAGATTTCCGGGACCAAGAGTTATGGGACAAAATATATCAAACTGTAGTTTCACTTTAAGCAGAAGCTTTAGTTTTGGAATGGGGAAAATTGTGTGAGTTTGCTATTATATAACTTTAATTTACTATCAAATACTAATTCTTATATTGCTTTAAACTAAAGCTATACATCTTTTTTTAATCTGAAAATCTACAATAATAAAATATAAAGGATAAGTTGCAACAACAAATTAAATTAAATAAATTTATGAGATACATTTGGATATGTTTATTTAATAATTGCTACATTATCTTTCATACATGGTGATTTTGTTCGCTGATTAATGTTGAATTAAGCTTTATTTTAATAGTATTAAGAGATATATAGATAGGAAACACAATCCGTAAAGCCTTTTTAAATTTAAATCCTTTTATATTTTAAATATTTATAATTTTGAGCATTCTGTTGCAAAAGTATACATATCTGCATAATATTTAATGCCTGCTATATATGATAAAGGTGATTTAATTAACTAAAAAAGATAAGTACATTCATATATCCTTACAAAAAATATGGGGGTTAATTGTTGATTCAAAATATTTAGCAAAATTATAACGATTTTTTTTAGATAATAAAAATTCAAGCTAATGAGGGTGGTGTTAACATTAACAACAATATAATAACTGGTATAATATTTTAAAAGTACACCCTTCCCTTGAACTTATATGAAACCATGACAGCTACAATTTTTTTGATAATGCCTTACTCCAACATGTCCTTTACTATATGTATATGTGAAGTACTCATGCTTTCCCCCTAGATAAACCATTAAAATATCGAATGAAAAACTTTGCCATTTGTCTGATAGGCCATGGCATCGAGGAACCATTACCTGCCCCAATAAAAGCTGAGTGGGGCTGTCGCCATGTGACTGCGGTAATAACGATGCCATGAAATTCGTAGAAAAGTAAAATCAAAGCACAAAAACAGAAAGGGGATGAAGTGAAGAACAAAGAGAGAGAAGTGCCACCGAATTGACTTAATTCCTTATTGTTGTTTTGGGGGTTTCCTTTTTTTTCGATTCTTTTGCAGAAGGCAACATCGGCTGAACAGCTGATTGGGTCAAAGAGCAAAAGCTTCGGAGAGCAGGATACGTTCCACTTCCAGGCTCTCTCTCCTCTCTCTCTCTCTCTCTCTCTCTATCTCTGTGTGTATGGAGCTTAACCCATATTGCCGACGAGGCCTGAAGCCTGGCCGCCGATGAAGGTCCGCTTCAGTCGTTGGAATACACTCGTGCGTCGTGGACACAAAATTGAAATCGCTCTGTTGCCGGAAACTTGCACGTGGCAACGGTACTGAGGTCCTTTTGCTCTCCGTCGTTTACTCTCCGCGGGCGTGTGTCGTACTGTGTGTGTGTGTGTTGGTGTGCGACAGTAAATGTGAGCAATTGAAAATGTGTGTGTGTTTCAGGCAAAAGTTGTCCTTTTATCTACGCGAAATTAAAGCAAATCGACAAACACATGCGTATCCTGTGGAAATGTAAATGTAAATGTATGCCATGGCTTGAGAATCCGTTATGAAGCCGCGTCACCGTCTCCTTTGTCTGCTGCCTTGCGGCATTCCTTCATCTTTATTTATTTTCATGCCATTCTCCTGTCCCACGTTATATTGCGTAGGCCAGGCGCCCAAGAAGTGTTTGCAGAAATAAATAAAAAAAAACCAAAAAAGGACGAAAAAATAAATAAAATGTTAGCCACATCGCTCACATTCCACTTAACGGTCATTGACGTTGCCGCTTTTCTTTCTTTTTTTGTACTATTTTGTTTTTGGGAGAACAGGACCCATTGCATGCCTTTCATTTGTCCCATTGAAGCACGCCTTGCATGCAATTAGGCCCTTGTAAGTTTAATCGCCGTGGATGGAATAATTAAGTCAGGCGAAATGTCGGCAGCGACACCGAAACTCCCAAAAGTAGGCAATTGTTGTCGAACCACTAAATTCAGCTGAGTTCAAAAGGAGTTATTAAGAAACTGTTTTGGGTTTCTTTTGGAAATACTCTATTTCAATCGAATACTATAATAAATCATTAATTTTGCTTTATGCACTGAAAGGCTTTTTTAAATATATAAAGTGAATTTAAAATACATTATGACGTATACTTTTTATTGAATAAAAATATTTTTGTAAATATTTATATCAAAAATGGTATAAGTACCCTATAGAATATCACATATATTTTTTAACATTTTACCTACGAAATGTATTAAGTGTATCAATAATATAGAAACATATTAAATAACAATGTATAATGCCACTAATACAGCAAATTTTACGTCGGAAATTACTATTTTTTTAATCTTCTTTGATTTTGACTTTTATTAAATGACTTTCTATTTTAAATCGATGGAAATTTTCATTTAACAATTAACTTTAACTTTGAATAAAAATAATTTTAATCGTTAAAATGAATGTAACTTTCGCTTTAACTATTTGTATATTTATTAGTATACGTACCAATCCAGAATATAAATTGCCTTTGTCAGAGATTATAAACAAAAGGCTTAAAATCAATATTTACTTCCTTATAGATATATTGAATTGGAATACAGCATAATAAACTATTGCCTGAGTAAACATTTTTTAATCTTTAGCCTTATTTCATCTTTATACTTTCTTGTTTTGTAAAAGATTTTATTACATTTTACACAACTCAATTTCTCGATGGTTTTTTGATTCATTAATAAACTAACCAAATCAGAATATTGGTATTGTTTGTCAACCATTTTATTAAATTCCTGACTTGACCATAAATAAAAAACCCAAATATGTATTCATTAAAATTGGCGTATAAAAACTCTTTTGGTTTTGTTTTAAGTAATATTTTTTTGCTGCTTACCATTATACGAGTTTCTGATATATCTTATTCATACTTCCATTCACAGTATAATCAAATATTTAAATTAAGTTATATTATTCCTTACTCAATAATTTGCAAAATTTTTTTCATCACTTTTTTGGTCAAACTGGAAGTTAATACTTGAAAATACGCATCGGATTCGCATTTATATCAAAAAATAAATTCAGGCCAACGAGTTTTTCCTCTGTCAGTAGTTCTGACAAAAAACAATTTCAATATGTCGCTATGCAAATAGAATGAAACCCGAGAATTCCCATTTGTAAATATACCAAAAAATATATATAATGAAACAAAAAAAGTGAATCTTTAATAAACATGTTTGGTGGAGTACGCTGAACGGTAGTATGTAGATTTAATAAAACTCACTTATTTTTTATTCATTTAAAGCCTTAAAATAACCAAAACGTAGCTCGGCAATTTTAAATATAAATGAAACCCCAAATGAAAAAGGAAATTAAACAAATAGAAATGTAGCAAACGATTCAATTTCAACAAAGGATCTAACAAAAGCACCAAACAAAAGCAAATAAATGCTGAACCCGTGAAAAGTGAAAGCAATTGAAATTCGACCGAAATAAAAAATGAAAACTTGAAATAAAATGATTTGTTGGTGCGCGATATATGAAATATCAACAATTTCGGCCAAACGGTTTCCCGATACCATATACAAAAGAAGTGAGTGTGCGTGTGCAATTGTGTGAGCACCTACAAAGCAAATAAAAAAGGAAATAACAGCGATAAGGGACGAAAAGGATACGCGAGCTTAAAAGAAAAGGATTTTCGACAGTCCCAGCTGACCGGAGAGGAAACAGGAGCCCAGAGTCCCCGGATTATTTTCCAGCCAGCAGTCAGGACAATAAAACTGCCAGTGGTCATAAAAAATAACAACAGCTGTATACATGAATCCGTGTATATAGATCGGTGACTTTTCCAAGGTAAGTCGAGCACAAGGCTAAAGCTTATGTTGTCAAGCTCAGATATGTCCGAAACAATAAATAATCGCCTTCGAGATCATCGAATGATTTACCCGTCAAGGAAAAGTATATTTTTTGCTCAGATCAATCACATTGTTCCCTAATTTACCAAGGGCGCTGCGTCAACAGAAATAAAATCAATTCAATGAAGATAAATGAGTTCAAAGTGAAACCCAAGACGAAGAACGTATATAAATATATATTATAAGCCAAGGCTTCGTCCTGGTTCCTGGTCTCCACTTTCACTAGCGACTGGCAGCGGTAATAAGCGATTACAATGTCGTGAGTCTAAATCCGAGACGCAAACAGGACGAAGCCGCAGTCACGTGCGCCGCAGGACCACAATGCGACGCAGGTGTTGCGAAGGATGGATATATCCTGGCGACACAGCACATCATAGGAGTCTGAAAGGTGGCCATAATTTACCCCGACACCCCGGCGGCTGTCATAAAAAAGTTTCTTCTTATTACTCATACGCACCCACGCCGATGCCAGACTTCTTCTCTCCGATGAGCAGGGAAATCAAATTAATCATTCTGCCAATGATTGGAATGATTTCTTCTGGCTTCCCTTATCGATTCGGATACTTGGGCCTGTCAGACACGCATCAAAAGTACCTGGGATTCGCTATTTTTAGTAGGCGCAGCTGTTGGCTCCCACTTTTGGTGAAGGTGGAAGTGCTTTCCGGGGATGGTTGCATAAATTAGCGCAAATAATTATGCAGATTTTTTCCCTCCGTTTTTATTGCTGTGCGCAAATAAACGCCGCCAGACGAAGAATGACGAGCTTGTTTTGAACTTTTGAATATTTTAACGCTCCATAATTAGTCGGCGGGCCAACTTGAAAATTTACCCTTTTCGTTGCTATATTCGAGGTGAACCATTCGCTGAGCGAACTTTGCCCATTCATTTTAGCGAACTTTGACTTCCTTTTATTTTACAAAAGGAAATGATATCAAAGTTGTCTTTAAGTTTGATTTAAAACGTGTAGTGTTTTTTTTTAAGGCTTTTGCGTAAATTTATTATTTACTAAACGGATTTACTTTCCTTATTTATTTATTGAAAATATAAAAAGGAGATATTTCATATTTAAATATGTTGAATAAAAAAGCTTTTATAAATGTCAAGTCAACATTTCAATTAAGCAAATAAATCTTACAAAAATAAGCCGATAACATTCGTAAATAGTAATTTAATATGTTTATTTACGCAATTAATTTTTTAATGGTATGGTCCGGCACTTATTTTATTGGATTTAATCACGTATTTTTTTATTTAATTTGATATTTTATACCCTGGGAGGGTATTATAATTTTATTGTTACGCTGAAATCCCACCCCATAAATTATTTATATTCTGGATCAGCATCAACAGCCGAGTCTATCCAGACCACTTATTCACAAAAATATATAACCAATTTTGGTAAAATTTTATTATTTTAAAATTATAAAAAATTGGTATTTGAAACTTCTTAACTTTTAATTGGGAATGCATATATTTAACCTTATAAACATTAGCATAGGAGTATTTCCGAATTAAAACAAAGACTCATTCGTTGTGTTTTTTAAACTTGGATTTGTCGGGAAACTGGTCAAATATTGATAAATATATATTCAAGGATTGCGAATATTTTAAGCTTAGTTATGATTGATTTCTGATTCAATGCTATAAATAAACTGCAAACTGCTAAGGTTTATAAACTTCGTTTTCCCAAAGTAAGTTTCTTTTCTTGTTATTCTTTATACATATGTAAAATAACATCTGCAGTCCTAAAGATTTACTTATTCTCGCAATAAAATCAGGAATTATACACTTAATCTTTAAAAGCTAACGGAATGAAATGGTTAGTCCGCCATGATCTTCCATTATGTCCATGTTCTTCTTATCCTTATATTCCTGCCCCAAATAAAGCACCTGCTGTGAGGAACCATTGCATTTGAACAGCTTCAGTTCCTCCGGCAGGCAGTTCATTCCAAATTCCGCCAATTTTTCCCCCAAAAATACGGTCGAATCCTCCACTGGACACCACAGAGGTGCTCCGTTGGTCATGCACAGTCCAATCAAAAGGACGAGCACGATGCAGCTTGAGGTGCAAGTGAAAACCCAGCTCGGGCCTTTTCGTAGTCAGATCCATGCAAAAGTTGGCTTCGCTTTGGGAAGCTCCCCAACGGAGCGATGGCCTCCTTCTTGGACACGATTCTTGCGGAGGCAGTAGTCGCAACGATGGATTCCTATGGAGTGCAGGACGCTGAAGTTTGCGGTATTCACCGCGTTGGCCATTTCGCTGACCCCCTGCTTGGACACCTGCCTAGCAGCACGCACCTGAAAGGCTGCGACTTTCCCAGCCTAATGGGGTCTTCATTCGATTTCACTTCCTCGCTGCCTCTAGGCTTTCACTGGGAGCCTACACCTGAGCAGAACCCACTTAAAATTTCTGTCAAAGCAAGTCGTACGCAGATCTATCTTGGAGTTAATGGAGATGCCTGGAAGGCAGCCTGAAAACTTCAGTCCATTATCCTGCTGACTATCAATCTTACTTCAATCTTAAGTCTGTGTTTTAATGAATTCAATTAGTTATAGTTGAATAAGCGGTATGATAGAGACCCGTTAAATAACTTAGTCGCTTCTCAGAATCCCAAGAAAATAAAACCATTCTTATTTTTGTTTTAAAATAAGAAGTAAAATAAAATTCGAACCTTATTTGCAACTTGTACTTTCTTATACAGATAATCTAAGAGATTTAAAAAGTTTGTTGTTCTTTAAGTATTAACTCATGCCTTTAAAAATCTTTCTCGGAATTTAAATTTGATACAAAACGTTGTTATTAACATAGGAAATAATAGATGTACCTTCTCCATATAGTTTAAACTATTTTGAACGCTTTAGATTGGTAAAAACTTTAAGAATTTACTATACATTGTTCTTAAACATTATATATTAAGTACGTTCTCTACATATAGTTAACTATTAAAGTCCGTTCCCCAAACTGTTGGTTTTCTTTGATATTCATCACGTTGTTTTCCCAACGGTTAGCCCTTGGAAACCACCCACAGTTAGCATAATATACTGTTGCAGATAAAAAGAAATATTTTCCACAAACAAGCATGCATATCCAAATGAGCTATTTTTGCATCCAGCACTCCTCGCTGTGCGTACTTGAATTGTCAGCGCAGCAAAACAACGAGATATCAGCAGAGTAATGCCAAAAAAGCAGAACAAATGCATACCAAAAGCTTAAAAATGCACACAAATTGCACTGGCACAGTTAAGGATGTGTAAAGTAACCTTGGGCCATGCACACACACACACACCACAGATACAGATACAAACACAGATACAGATACTTTTGTAAACAGATACATGTGCACAGGGTGGTGACCGACCAGATGCACATTCTGGTTTCAGGAGTGTGGAAAATGTGCCTGTGACCTTGTTGGTTTTTTTTTTTGCCTGCGAGTTGTGTTCTGATAAAAATAAACTTTCTCTTTAATTTTAACAGTTCCCATCGTTTTTCCCCATATTCAGACTGATTTAATATGGAAAACAGACATTATGGTTCAATTTCATATGCATAATTATGAACGACCAATTAGTTGTTACACCAGGCAGAGAAAAATATTTGAATAATTGAATTATTTTTATCAATCAGGTGGTGAATTCTGAATCGATAATTATGTATGTAAAAAAAGGGGGGTTTTAAGTGAATATGTTGACTTTGTTAAGTGGATTTATATATTTTTTGCGTTTCATGCATAATTTATATTTTCTGCAGTTTCATTGATTTTTATATTTATCTAGTTATTCTTTGTTATTTTTATAGAGACCTGTTACTGAGATGACCTCTCCGATATTACATTGCTGACACATATTCCCCAAATAATTAAACACAAATACAAATGCAATAACAGTTTAATCATGTTAAGGTACATACTTTCATAAAAAGTTTCTGAGCTTGGGATCAGATTATATATTCAAAAGTGCTTTGGGTGGCTTCAGCTAATTCGTAGATCTTTTTAAACTCATCAGGGCAGTATTTTGACATTTCGAATAAAATTTTATAAAATCGAGGCTGTTCTTCGCTCTTTTATTATATTATTATTATATTATATATTTTACAATATATTATACAATATATAATACAATATAAATATTTGTAAGTTAGGAAGTGGTTTAAAACAGCCAATTGAAATCTTTCTGTCTTATTTTGCATTAGATTTCTAGCTGCTTTAATAATTTTATCGAACTGGTCAACTTTTTCTCATCTTAGAGCAGATTAATTCAAATTATAAGCTACAAGGGTATAAATAGAAGGACTTTTTGTAATTATTTTATCTTTTTTTTTAATATATTCATTGAGTTTCTCTGTGTACTTGCGATTGAAAAAAATGAAAATGAACATTGCACATTTACATACGCAAACCTAAATAGGCTTTTTACTTATTTACTTCACTCTTCAGAATAAATTATTAGAAAATATTAAGAATTATTCGTATCTATATTTTCTAATACATATAAAAGCCATAAGCCTAAAAATATTAGTGTTAATACCTTTATAAAATCATACCGCAAATGAGATCTTACTCAGTGTAGTTAATGAAAATAAATATAAAAAATTTATAAAATAAATTAACTATCTCAGATATATATTTATTATATAATGTATAGAAATTAAACAAAAATGCTCAAATATTTTTATCCCTAATTCCCCTGTCTAATAAATATTCATTTAATTATATCTCCGTTAAACATTTACTCTTCTTATTCGCAAATAAATTAATGATAAAATTATTTACTTTCCAAAAACTCATAGCAAAATGATCGCCCGGAAACTGGCGGCTCGTCTCATCAACGCAGTCCTGCAGCATAGATAGTCTAAATGACCAGAAGGAGAGCACAACGATCCAGAGCCACATTCAAATAGGTGAAGACATATTAAGAATAGCTCACCAGGTCGAGGAACTCCGAAGCTCCGCTCTGCCACAATGGGGGAAAGCCAGTTGCTCCTGTTGCTGCGGCTCCTCCTGCTACCCGTCGTCCTGCTCGGCTGGACGAGATGTGCAGAGGCCTCCACCTCGGACATTTACAAGAATGCGCGACTGGGACATCGCATCGTTCAGACGCGCTATGGCCGCCTGCATGGACTCATCCTGCCGCTGGACAGCTTCCGGTTCCTGCGATCCGTGGAGGTCTTCCTTGGAGTGCCATATGCAACGCCACCCACCAAACAGAATCGGTAAGGGATTCATATTATTATCCAAAAATCTAATAAATTAATTAAATCGTTTTATCATAACATCCCCAACTAAGGTTCAGTCCCACGCGAGCTCCAGCGCCTTGGGATGGAATTCGCATCTCGGATAAGTACAGTCCCGTCTGTCCACAACGCCTGCCCAATATTCAAAACGAAACGGCGGCGCTGGAGAAGATGCCCAAGGGTCGTCTGGAGTACTTAAAGAGACTGCTGCCCTTCCTGGAGAATCAGTCCGAGGACTGCCTCTACTTGAATGTCTTCTCCCCGGTCAATGGTAAGTGAAAAGAAATAATAAACCTTAAAGACTTTGCCCGGGAGTTTCGCGAAAATACCCCAACCAGAATTTGAGCACCAAAAGCTGCACATAAATCTCATTTAAATTCAATTAATTAAGATTAATCGTACGCCACGTAATGCCAATAATTTCAACGCAAAAAGAAAAAGCAAATGCTCACGTAACCGCTGCGCAAATCTTATCGCAAGTGCCACCCCACTAAGCTTGCAATCCCTGGGAGAGACCAGGATCCGGTGGAAACGCTAATCTGAAGCGATTCCCTCGCAATCCGCTTGGCACGCAAACGGAAGCGTTTAATGGGTCATGAGAGCTCTCGGAGCTCCTAGCTCTTGGCGGTGTGTTGAAAGGGAAAAACGCGATATCAAAAGTTTCAACAAACACACACACAAAAAAATGAAATAACAGAAATATTTGCATTACGATTTGTAAGTACTGATGTACTAACAGAGTTTTGTTAAACGTTTTTCTTTTCTACTGCTGTACTCTGGCAGCCGGTGCGAATGAGAAGAAATTGCCAGTGATTGTGTTCATACACGGCGAATCCTTCGAGTGGAGCAGCGGTAATCCCTATGATGGCAGTGTCCTGGCCAGCTACGGAGAAGTTGTGGTTGTGACCCTCAACTATCGGTTGGGGATCTTAGGTAAGTAACTACTACAATTAGATTCGTAGATTAATTACTGTAACAAATCATCATCTTAAATGTTCTATATAAAATGAAATGATTCAGTGATTAATTTTGCCACAAAGTACACTCATTTTAATATCAACACCTTAATTTATAATTCAATTTATCAATATCTTTACTTCACAAGGTTTCCTTAATGCCAATCCCAATCCCCATGCCCATGCCAGGGTGGCCAACTATGGCCTAATGGATCAGATGGCTGCCCTCCATTGGATCCAACAGAATATCCAAAAGTTTGGAGGAGATCCCAACTCAGTGACCTTGGCGGGTCATGGTACAGGGGCGGCATGCATCAATTATCTGATGACATCGCCAACTATGGTCCGTGGTCTCTTCCATCGGGCCATCCTAATGTCGGGCTCTGCTTATTCGTCCTGGGCTTTGGTTGAAGATCCTGTACTATTTGCCATCAAACTGGCCAAGGAGGTGAATTGTACGATACCCGAGGACATTAATAGGCATCACGAACAGATTGTCGACTGTCTAAGGGATGTGCCCCTGGAGGATCTCTACAGTGCAGACATTCAGGCGCCAAACTTTCTTACATCCTTTGGTCCTTCGGTGAGTTAAAGAGGACTTGGAATTTTCTTAGGGTTTTCTTAATTTGCAATGTCGGTCTTGAGAGATTTATAATTTAAATTTGTAGCTAAAACAAAAGGCTATAAAAAATAATATTACATTGAGTAACAATTTAAAGAAGACCAGCAACAGAAGCTATTGTAAAATTTCTTTAACAGAAGAGAAGTAAGAAAATCATTACTGTTTTAGCCAAAGAAATCAGTTTTATCTTTGGCCAAGGCTGAAGTCTCTTTTAAAGACATTTTGATTTTGCTATCTTCGTTTTGTTTGCTGCTGTTGCTGCACTAGCTTCCTTTTGTCCGGTCCTCGCTTCAATGGACTTTATTACTTACTTACTTGGCCTTCCCCCTTGGGGCCTTTGCCACTACTCCTGTCATTTACTTGCGATTCGCTCTACCATCCTCGATTTCAATTTAGGTTGATGGCGTTGTCATACGACCCGGACATTCCAATCTCGATATCGATGATTTAATGGCGCGCAACTCGAGGCGTTCGTCAGCGGAGTCTGACTTCCAGGCGAACGCCGGTGGTTCCGGCGGCGGTGGTGGAGGCGGCAATGGTTTCGGCGGCGGAGCCTTCGGCGGTGGTGGAGGTGGTGGCGGTGGCTTCGGTACGGCATTCGGCGGGGGATACACTGGCGGAGGCGGTGCCGGATCGGCCAGCATGGGCGGTCACTATGACGTCCTGTTTGGCGTCGTTACGGGCGAATCGATTTGGCGCTTCAGTGCCCACGACATTCAAAATGGTTTCGAGGGCGAGAGACGCGATAAAATTATCCGCACTTATGTCCGCAATGCCTACAATTATCACCTCAATGAGATATTCTATACGGTGAGTAATTTCATTTTTATGTTATATATACATTTTTTGTGTTATATATATGTATATATTTTTTTTCGCCTGCTACTTGGTTCATAAATCTTGCCAATCAGATTTGGTTTCTCCCCCTCGAAATGACTTCTTGACGGTTTGGTTTGGCTTGTCTGGCATCAGTTAAAGCTTAATTATTGCCCTTATCGGAGAGTTTTACTTTTTGGACTGGCAAAGTTTTTTTTCCTTTAAAAAGTTTATAGACAGCTGCCAGATGAAAGAAATATGTTTCGCCATAGTGAATCATTTATTTTCCATGAAAAATGTCTAAAGTTACAATTTTACATGCAAATGAAGTCTTGAGACGCCTTCTGACTATGCAAATCGGTTCTCTTTTTTTACAAAAAGAATGAAACAAATCAAATCATCCTTGAATTTGTAAATTTAATTTTAAATTAAAATTTGGGTGATTGTGAGGCATAAGAAAATCAGTAAAATTTTATGTAAAAACTTTAAATAAATCTCTATTTTAGACTCAGTTATAAATAGTACATTTTTATTTTATGTTTTTGTTTTAAATGTATATATTTCTTGTAATTTTTCTAATTTTTATATTTGGAAGTTTTCAAAACTGGACTTTATTTATATTTCTCTAATTTGAAATACAAATAAAGTGACAAAAACCTCCGTAAGGTATTAAAAGTTTATTTATGAATTCAACTTTATTTTAATACAAATTCTGATCTACAATTCACAAAACTAAACATACAAAGTTATATTCAATTCGACTTGCATTGCTGCCTTTCAAGGCTATACCCATTATACACCATTAAAATGATTAAAACCCTTTGAAAAGTTGATGTTTTCAATAGAGTAATTGGCTGCAAGCAAACACTTCTAGATCCCAAGTACAAACAGGCAAAAAGCAACAGCAGCTGCAACTGGAAAAAGTCAATTAAAATGTAGGCACTCTCTCCTCTCTTAGAGTGTGTGTGTGTGTGTGTGCAAGTGTAATTATAATTTCACATTTCAAATGAGTAACATTCGCCACTCAAACAGACTCACACTCAGACTAAATAAAATGTCTGTCTGCATTTCGTTTTTGCTCTCATGTTTCACAGCACTTGCAACTTTTTAGCATTTTATTTTTTACATCAGCCTTTGTATATATATTTATTTTATGCTCTCTTACTGGCTATTTGTTTTTATTTTCGCATTGTGCAAGCGGGCGAAATGGAAGGCAGTTAACACGCCATCGCTGCCAAAACATTAACACGCTTTATTTGGCAAATGTGTGCAAGGACATAGACGCACATGCGACTCTCTATGTATGTGTGTGTGTGTACACATACACACTCACATGTACCTACTTAAAAGCACACAAGCAGCACTTAACCCAAATCACAGCAAACACAGTGGAGAAAAACAGAGAAGCATCCCAATGACAACCGTCAACAGTCAGAGCCTGAAACTGGAACTGAATCTGAATCCGTAGCTATATCCGTAGCTGTATCTGTATCTGTAGCTGTAGCTGTTGCTGTATTTGTATCTGAATCTGAACCTCAGCCTCGGTCACCATTTGCCGCATTAACACACACGCACCGTAAATGCGCTTCAAGTTGCTGAGTCTGTGTATGCACTGAGAAAAATTTCGGAGAGTTTTTAAGACTCTAGTGGAACAAATATTTTGCATTACAAACTAGTCACAAAACCACCTTTTAATTTTTGACACACGTGAAGACAGTAATGCTTAAATGGAAAAGGCATATAATTGAAACAGAATTTTAAAATATTCAAAAATGAAAAACATATTTTCAAACGAATTAAGAAAACGTTTATGCCGGATTATACTTTAAATTTGTATTCATTTTTATTTCCACTATCTGACCATTATCATCTTTATTTAGAATTTTAAATATTTTCGTATATGTTATAACTTTTCCTTTTTCAAGTTGAAGTCAAGTTAAATATTCAAAAATTAAAAACATATTTTCAAACGAATTAAGAAATGGTTTGTGCCGGATTATACTTTATATTTGTATTAATTTTTAATTTGACTGTCTGGCCATTATCATCTTTATTCAGAACTTTAAATATTTTTATGTGTTTAACTTTTCCATTTTCAAGTTGGAGTCTTTGATCTTAAACCAAAAATTAAGCCTTCTTTTACAATATATTTGTTCAAAAAATTACTCTTCTAAATAATATAGGAGGGCCTTCTAAAAAAATTAAAACAAGTTCAAGATATTCCTCAAACTTTAAAACAGAATTTTCCCAGTGTGAGTGTGAGGCACAGATACATTAAATATAAACGCACATATAAATACATATATCAAGAAGTCGTAAATTACCAGGGCATATATCACGATTATACCGCTTAAGCCTATATTTATTTTACTTCATTATACTCTTGAAGAACCGCAACCCAGGCCCGCACTTAATACTTCACAAGGCTTAATTTATATAGGTCATAGGTCACAGGAGGGAGGGCCAATCCATGAACCACCTTCAAAGGAAATCCCTTCAGCTAATGATGACTAATCAAAAGCCATAATCGAATGGGACTTTATAATCAATTATTTATACTTGCCAAAAGTTAAAACGAGTACAAAATATGAAAATCCGAAATGGAAAACTTTTCCATAGAAAAATCAATGTTATCCCAAAAATAGATTCAGAGCAGAGAGCAGCAGCTGAAATTTCATGTTAATGTATTCCACACACAATTGTTAGATTCAGTTTCTATTACGTTTTTTTCATCCTCATATTTCTTTTTTTGGTTTTTTATTTTCTTTTTGTTGATAGGGTTTTGTAAATTATGCATGACATCGATTTTACAGATGCAGTTTGCGGTCGTTTATTTTTCGCACACACGCTGGTAGAAATAATCATTGGGGTGGTAAAACAAGCCCTTCCTCCTGCTCGTTTTGCGGTGGTGAATGGCCACCGCAAACAAGGACAGCAAACAGTTGCAATCCGCTTGTAATCCTGCCAGGATTTGACTTGGCACACATGGAGCCAATGCAAATCTAAAACGAGCTCTTTTACACGCAACAAAAAGCAATTTAAATTGGAAAATATGCTTTACTTTTATTATTAAGAATTATTTTTGATAAACAAGATTTTGAATTAAATAAAAAAACCATCAAAAATTGTTTATGTGATTTATACATTTTGTTATGATACAAGTTGTTTCATAAAAAACTTTATTGGTTATTTACCTTTAATGGAGGAACAATTATTCCTGATAGTTTGTTATGCATTTATTAAAATATTAAAATATATTATTTAAATATTTATTTTTGTATGATTGTAAGTCCGGAAACGTATATATAATCCAGAGATATTTATTTTGGAAAATTAGCTTTCTTTCATTGGTAATTTTATTGGCATTTAGCTCTAAGACAACTATTAAGAAACTTTTGTTTACTATGACCTAACCTTACTATCTTTTATAATTTCTTTTATTAACAAAAACATTATACAACATTTTTTCAAGTGTAGTTTCGTTTCTCCACAAGATTTAAAAATGGAAAATCCCATTCCTCCCTCTTTCCCCAGATCGTCAACGAATACACGGATTGGGATCGCACCTCACAGCATCCGATCAACACCCGGGACACGGCAGTGGCCGCCCTATCCGATGCTCAGTTCGTGGCCCCCATTGTGCGAGCCGGAGATATCCTGGCGGCCAACTCTCCGCCACCAGTAAGCTCCTCAGCGCCCTCAGGCTCAGGAGGTGGCAATGCGGCAGCCTCCACATCGGCAGGGTCCACACAGCCCGCGGGTCGTTGTTATTTCTACGTTTTTGACTACCAGACCAAGGACGGTGACTATCCCCAGCGGATGGGCACGGTGCATGGCGAGGACTTGCCCTACATCTTTGGTGCCCCGCTGGTTGATGGTTTTAGTCACTTCCCGCAAAACTACACCAAATCGGAGACGGCTCTGTCCGAGGCGGTGATGATTTTCTGGACGAACTTTGCACGGACCGGGTAAGTAGGGGGATGGAGGAGGAGCCCTGGGTGTCCTAAGTGTCACTGAGCAGTCTTAGGACACCTGCTGTCCTTTCTGCACTTTAAGCTCCACTTAAATGTTCGACTTACACATGCACTGAGCGAAAGCGAACTATGACACAAGAAGTTAGGGAAACTAGGTGGCTGTAAAGGCTTCCAGAAAGTTTTGAGACACCTGCTGCAACTCGCTCAGCACTTAAGGAAATAATTATTATTAATATATTTATGAATTTCCTTTTAGATAGTATATACTACTATTTTCCTCCACAAGAAATTAACAGTGCAACTTTCTTTTTCCCTTTCCAGCAATCCAAACGAACATCATCGCCAGGACTCCTCGTTGCCCGTTTCAAAGGAGCGTAACCGCTTCCGCAGCATCACCTGGGAAAATTATGATCCGCTGCATCAAAAGTATTTGGAAATAGGTAAGCCAGCAGAAACTTTTCTCCCCCACAGTCCTGAAACTTTCTTCATTTCTGTAAGAGGGCATTTCAAGCCAAAATCTTGCTCTGAGGTTCCAAAAGAAATGTTTTGATTTGTTTTGTAGTTGAAAATGGAAAGAACAAAACTATGTTAAAAGTTTAAAGCATTTACTTGATTCTTTTTTTCAATAAAAAGATATTTTTGGGGGAGAATTTAAGGCAATTCCCATCAGGAGAGGGTCAGCTTGTTAATATGCAAGTAGCTTTAGCTACAAAACATTTCTTATACATTTTCACACACCTCCGAAAAATGCCTGCAAAATGCTGTATGGCTACTTTGCCATGCAGTAAAAAGAATTCATGGAATTCATGCCAAATAAAAGCTACAAATTTACAAGAAAAAAAAGAAAGGACGAAAAAACCTAAACACACACAGCCAGCTGCAAGGAAAAAAAGGGAGAATCAAATTTAATTTGAATTTTAAAGAAGGCAACGCCTGAACATGCTCAGCTTGCTAACAACAGCAAATTGAGGGGGTGCTGGTGGCTCTGAGGTTCTGGAAAACGAGGGAGTTAACACACAAGTACTTGAACAAAATGTGAGTGGAGGAGCCTGGAATATAAGCATCTCCTCACTCTGTATGGTGGGGCAACACCAGGTAGATGAAGGGCAATCAAAACGCCCAGAGATTGTCGAAACATTACGTGAAGTGCGAGCCGAGACGGGGACATCGGAGGGGGCACTGAGGCTGAGAAGCATAAAGCTTTATGCTCGCGTTAAAATGGCACCAACGTTGCTTCATGTCAAATGTACGAAAATGTTATTAATTTCAAATTTTTCACACCTTTTGTGCCCGAACGCGACAGGTACATGGCAAAGGTACACACAAAAGCCGATAGAAAGAGGTATATACATATTATTTGCATAATATGTGGGGATTACCAAATACCCTGAATTTTGTACAGAAATAGAATGAATTTCCTGGAATTTATTATAAGAAAATGTTTACCTTTTTTAATAAGGTGAATTAGGTTTTATAACTCAACAAATTTAAGCGATTGTTGGCAGTTGGATTAAGAGTTCTTACATCAACTTTTAAATGTATTAATTAATTCTTAACTTCTTAATTTTTATAAAGTTTTGGCAAGATTTATGGACACTTAAAAAGCTTTTTTATATTTATAATTAATTTGCTTGTAAGAGACTATATTAAATACAGATGGTATATCTATAAAAAGAAGAATACATATGGTATATCTATTAAAAATACGGAATTTTCTTAGAGACATAGACATGTATATTAAATTTCTTTATTAGACATACTTGTAATAAAACAAAGAGTCAAATTTTTTATATATATAAATTAAAAGATGTTATTAAAAATATAATAACACTCCGAAAGTTATTTCTATTTTATTTCACAATGTTCATCCGTATAAAAATAAAGTTAAATTAAATTAAAATCAATGTAAATAAAATGTATATGGCGGCACCCTTTGGCTTTCGTTAAAATCAATCTACCCCACTTGACACACAAATAAGCTAAAAGAGAAAGCACCCATACAGATACAACACACACAACACACACCTTTACAAAAGATAGCAACAGATACGCGCGCTTAACGGTTTATGAAAATTACGCACAGGTTATGGCAATGGATTTGCCTTACATTGTGCACAGAATGGTTTTTTTTTATATATATGTATATATATTTTTAGTCAGCTAAGAGGTAAAAAAAGGTGGTAAAAAGAGGCCTTACTCCCCACTGCTGACACGCACTTTACGCACATGTAAGCATTGAAGGACGATACGTATCAAAAGATATGTCTGCGTTACCCCATCCTTCACCAAACTTGCTCCTTTTTGTTTGATTTTAATTGAAACGACACACAGCGACAGCTGACATTCTATACAGGAGATCCGCCCAACCCACACACACAGTGTGCTGCACTTTACATAAGCAAGTTAAAAGGATTCCGCCGTGAAGAGTTTTCTTTTTTTATTTGATACGCCAGAAAACTGAAATCGAAATCAAATAATATGGAGGGTTGGGAGCTCTGTGCACAAAAGGGATCTCCGGCACACATAGGCAGCTGTCACACATATGCGGCGTATACGTAATGTGTGTAGTACACATCGAACTATAAGCATATCTTATGTATAAGCCGAGTATTGAAAAGGTCCTGTTGCGTAAATTATGCAGCAGCAGCATCCCCAATGCCTGCAATATTTATTTCGGATTCGGATTCGAATACGGATTCAGATTTGCACTTGCGATTGATGATTGCAAGGGGAATGATTTTCGGCGGAACGAAGTCCTTTTTTAAATTTCATATTTTCCCATGAATGCTCCCAATGGGCATGTGTCAAAAGTTCAAAGGTGTGTGTGTGTCTGTGTGAAAGCCTTCGGAAGATTGTAGTGAGAAACATTTCTGGTTCTTTTCAGATATTTATAAATACATGAAGATATGAGGAAATACCTCAACCTTTTTACCCTGGAAACAAGTAGGTTACGAGGCTCGGCTTTTTTGTAAACTTTATTTGTACACACTAAGAAAAAGTGTAATTGTATTTTTAAAGTATTTAGGTAAACTATAGAGGTAATAAGCATACTATTAATTTATGTACTGTTCCTTGAATTATCTTTTATTATTTGTGAATTCCATATTATATTATAAAAACATTATAAAATGTATTACATTTCCATATATTTTACAATTTATTGATGGAAAAACCTACTTATTTTTAAATTTAGCTAATTTTTAACGTGTCCTTTTTATACCCCTGCAGGCCATTATAATTTTACTCAGAAGCATGTAACCTGTTAAGAACATAATTTCAGACCCTATAAATTATATATAACATTAACAGCCGAGCCAATCTAGACATTTCCGAAAGCAAAAATTGTTCTTTTTTTATTGGGTTTAAAATTGTCAGCAATTGAATTTTTCTTGTAATTCAAAAGTTGAGACTTCATTACCCTTTTAAAAACTAATATTATTAAAATTAATGCTTTTATGGCTTAGCCATAACATTTTTCAACTTTTATTTGTCGAAAAAATGTTCATATAAAAATATCTTCTCAAATTTGGGAATATTTTAAGCTAAGTAATTATCGATTCCCGATTTGAGCCCATAAATCCATTGCAAACTGCATGGCTATAAAAGCATCGCCTTCCAGAAGTTAGTTTCCTTCCTTATTATTATCATAAAACTATTATATTTGTCTTATAGAACCGGTTTTTCACCGTGTATATGGCAGGTTCTTGGCAAAAATAGCTGGGGGCATCAAAAATTAAACAGTTATGTCGCTTTCACCCCGCCAAAATAAACAAGACATCGAGTTTAAGTACTGAGGACAGTGGATTGAGGCCTCAGGACTATGGACTAAGGGCTAAGGGCTAAAAACTAAAGGGGCTATGGGCTGGGACTGTAACCCGAGAAAGGAGGTGGGCCTGGCCTCAATTGAGCCAAGTGTCTGTCGCTCACCTTTTTGGCATGCAAATGACTCGAAAGTGGCCCAAAAGCAACAGCAACGGCCAAAATGGAATAGTTTAGCATTAGAGCTATTTGCATGCATGTTTCGTGGGCGGATGAGTGTGTGTTTTGGTATCTGTCACATGGAAATGAAAATGAAAACGAAAATGAAGATGTTTACCTTCGGCTCATCCCTTTGTTTTTCCTTCTGTTTATAAAGGAAGAAATAAAACCACCCAAAACCGGATCCCCTTACTAACCAACGGGATACTCTTTAAATTCCAGGAATGAAGCCGCGCATTAAGAATCACTTTCGGGCCCATCAACTCTCGATTTGGCTCCGTCTGATACCAGAGCTCCATCGCGCCGGCATGGAGGATGTGATAGCCAGGCACAATCTGTTCCGCAATCACGATGATATGGACCTGTACGAGGGACCCGTTAAGCCGGATCCGTTCGGCATATCAACATCCACAGGAACCGCCGGCTCCTCATCCTCGTCCTCGTCCTCGTCGCGCCTCCTGCTCATCGATGAGCAATTGATGATGAAGAAGGGACGCGGCCTGAATGCCTCAGCCTATTTGAACGGCATATTGGGCGGTAAGTAGCCCCAAGACAAACACACAGACATTGAATCGCATTCATATGGCTACACGGAAAGAAATTGCCCTTTAACACTATAAAAAGACTGCTACAAAATTATAGAAACAAACTGGTATTATAGGATAAAACGTTAATAAGTTTTATATTTGTTTAACAAGAAAATTTCATTCACAAACTAGAGGCTATGTTTAATTAACAAAAGGAAAGTTATTGCTGTTTTACTGCGGTTTTATTCCGTATAAATTAAATACGATTATAATTGAACTTTGTGTTGGTGTCCCTTTTTTCACAGTCGATTGAATTGCAATCCTTTAATGGCATTATTATTAAACATGTTACAAATTCACATTTAAAATCAATATTATTACCTCAAGTTCGTTATTATTTTCGTTCTGTGTGTCTGCGGCTTGTCACTGTCACCTAAATACCTAAAAACAACAAATAAGCCGGCACAAAACGGCAAACCGAGCCCAAAGGAATAACGCCTATCGCCTTTGTAGATTGTATTTTGGTTTTCGTCCCTTTTGGGCCTTTGTACAGTCTGCAGTTGTCGTTTAATGCGGTTGACAAAGGCCAAGCCAAAGGGACACTTGACTGGCCTTTGGGGTTTTTTTTTCTCTGGCTTATTTAATTGCAGATTCTGCAGAAACTGACAAATTAAAATAAGGGTGAGCTCAACCTTTCTTTTCGATTTTCAGCCTCAACACTTGGTTGCTACTCTGCTTTGATTGGAATACTTATCACAAATATAGGTCCTTTTAAATGAGCTCTTTAAAATATATTATTTTTTTATCCCTATGACCTTAAATATTGAGCTTGAATTTGTTTAACAAAAAGTTAAGCATTTCAGGGTATACAAAAAGTAGCTGAACAAGCTTTGAGATGTAATTTAACACTTATTTAAACTTAGTACATGAATAAATTTATTAGAAACAAATAGTTTCTAGGCATTCCTTTGAATTACAATATTTATTTTAGAGTTTAGTTTCAATCCAATCAACATTTCAATGCTTCATCAATCTTCAACACTTATTTTAGTTTCAGTTGTGTTTTTTATGACCCATAAAAGTTCAACTGTATTTAAAGTTATATCGCAAAGCCAGGTAAACTTTTACAAATAAGTTATAGATTACTTTTGCTTTTAATACTTTATTCATATATAACTTTGCTAGTAATAGGAATACTTTATTTATTTCTGTGAAATATAAAGTAAGATTAGTTTAGTATGTCAAACATTGATTGGAAAATGTCTTCCTTTTCCCAAAATTGTATCCCTTCGGACCGCAATTATTATGGCAGAGTCATTCGGTTAGATTACGGATGCCTCTGAACAGATGATCAAGCTATTTGAGATGATTCCAAAGTCAAATATTTAAGATGCGGTCACAAAGTTATACGCACATGTGAGCATTTGTTTAATAACTCGACGGCAAATGAAATATATTCCACATACGCCATGTGGGCTCCCTCTCAAATAAAGGCAAATCCAAAAAAAGGAGAAAACTCTTTCTATTTATTCGGCTCGGCTCCTCTTCTTTTCTGTTTTTTTGGTTTTCTACTTTTTTTTTCTTCTGGTTATTTGGATGGTTTTGTTTGTTGGAGAGCGAGCTGAAAATCAACACTTTCGGTAGCAAAGATTTCTGTTTACTCTTGGCGTTGGCCTCGGCCTAGTCAGTGTTTACTTCACTTTGTGGTCTCGCAGCAACTTAAATTGCAGAGTTGGCATTTTTGTGGGGAGTCCATATCCACAACCCTTCATTCCTCATTCCTCGACCTCATCCTCATCCCAGACCCATCGCTCTGCTGCCTTTCTGTTCCCTGGCATGACATTTCCATTTGACCCAGCCCCGAACTTGGACCTCCAGCTGGGACTCTGGTTATTGAAATTGCGTCCGGGCCGGGATACGGTTTGGCTTTTGAATTTATATTGTGTCGAGTGCTGACTTTTGGAAATGCACTCAACTGTAATCTCTATAAGCATTAAGTGTGTGTAACCTTTTTTCCCTGTCATACTTGCTTTCCCCTCCCCAGACTGCTGTGTCTGTGGCATAAATTTCTCGTTTACATTCACCAGGGAGAGGGGGAGGAGTAGCTGGAAGCTGGAGTCTGTAGCTGAAAGAGGGTCTTCTGTCTAAGATGCCACAAATGTAAATAGCGCATAATTTTAATGCACTGCACAACCCCCTTCCGCTCCGGACTTCTCGAATGGGAAGTCATTAAACCAGTTTATGTAAAACTCGTTGGCGGAAACTTTTTCAACACTTACTCTAAATTAACAGCAAACTTTGCTGCTTGTTTTTCCCCCGCTTTTCTTTATGTTTTTACCATTTTTAATAAACTGTCCCCGCGCAGCTGTGGCGACTGCAACTGCAGCTGGCCTCAAACCCCCAGAACAAGAAGTGAATCCAACTCAAACATCAAATCCTTATATGGGGGGGGAGAGGATTGAGGGGGCGGGGCTGTGCCTCATGGGCGTGTCCTTGTTTCATGCCATAGCAACCAGAAAGCGCTTCAACTTACTTCCTTCGACGCTGGCTTATCTCAAAGTCAAAACTAAGACAGTCAATTCCAGGCAAAACTTTCTACTTTCCCCTCGTAGTCGAACAACTAAATGGCCTCAACCCCTCCTTTTAACCATTTTACCCTCATCCTATGGTGTTTTCCCCTCTCCCCTTTTCCAAGTTAGCCAATGCAAAATGCATTAGCTCATGGAGGCAGGGGAGAACACAGAAGTGGGCGTGGCAGTCTAGAACGCTTTCGCTGAGCAAAGTCGGTTAAATTAGAAATTATTGAAATGTTGACTTTAGATGGTCGAGAACGATGAAGAAAGTCACATAACGATGAAAGCGAAACGATTTCCACCACACTGAAATTCCAATTAAATTTACTGAAAATTATAAGAACAAAGTTGCTTAAGAGAGCGGTTAGTTTCAAACACTCATTAAAGAGTTTTTAACGAGGTCCCTAAAGTTTTATATACATATATTCCTTAGGGTTATTGTATAATACAATATAACCCGAAAAGTAGTGCAGGCATTATAAAAGAAAACATATTTTAAGGCCAGTCCAAGTCTTAAGACTTATAAGATTAGCGGTGTGAGCTGGAGGATAAAGTTGTCCAAATACAAATCGCTTTAAAAAAAGGAAAACTAGATTAGAGATGGCTGACAATATAAATATATCGAAAGTATATAAATATTTATCGATATATATATAATTTATCGATATTGCTACTTTGTTTTTCGTATATGCGGAATAAATCTATATTTTCCTTAACCTGATGTACCAATTTTCTTGTTAATTGTTATGGAAAAATGTATTTCAAATATACAGGATGTATCTGCTTCAATAGACCAATTTAGTTTCATCGATAAGAATACAAAGAAATTAATTAACTTATTTTGAATATTGATAAAATAGTATATTTTTCGATATTTTAAACTTTGGTATACTAAATTATGCCATATTTGTGATATAATATTGGGAAAACTATTTTGAACTTTTCTTTTCGATATGCAGCCTTAGACTAGATTGACTAAAGTGATGACACTAATTCAATCATTTTGATAACTTGATAACATAAATAACCTGAAAACATGTAAAAATTATCAACAGGTTTTCCTATGTATATTATATTGATAATAATTTGTGTATACAATATAGTAAACACATTCATTTTAATCTAATCATTTGTAGTTAAGCAAGAGGCAAGGCTGGAACTTGTTCTTTATCTTATTTTTAATATTTTAATTAATCAAGCCACCCATACATATATCTTTTAAACCGAATATTTAATCAAATTTCTTATTTCTTTAAAAAAAAAATAATGGTAAACACAATTTAAATACAGTTTGCGTTTATTTCCAACCTCCCACAACAAGAGAGCCCCTCCCAAAGTCTCCACCCATTTCAGTGGGTATTCCATCGTGGTGTTGACCTTTAAATCTTGATTCGGAGCACAGTGCGTTCAAATTTAATCTACCCTGGTTCGGTTTTGAGCAGACAAACAACTAATCTGTGACCCAAAACAAACAGAATGGAACAAAGCTGGAAGTTGGCCGGCAGGCTGTCCCCTCCTCCCCTTTGGAGGTGAGAGGGCGACTTGCGGCGGCTAATGTAGAATGCTGATGAGAGAGAGTGTTGAACCACAGACAACAAATGTTCATTTCAATTAGTGCACGGGCCAGAAATGCTGCAGAACTAAATCCGGCCATCAAAACAAACTTACAACCCGGCCAGGACTAGAAACAAAAAAATACAAAACGGATTTAAAAGAGCGAACTGAGAGGAAACACAGGGCGATGGCAAAAAGTGGAAATAGAAGATGATAAAATGCCTGAAATGCGACAAACAGCTGTCAGCTTGACAGTCGACGACGACGCAGCTAGGCCACAAAAAAAGAGCAAATATACCCAGCTTTCTTTGGGAAATGTGGGTGTGCGAAATGCGGGAAAATCACAGGAGATCGGAAAGCCACCGACCGAAAGCCCAGACTCGCTGGAAGAGACCCAGTGTCATATGGACTCGACATACTTTGACATGCTTTTCATTTAAGCGTTGACTTTGCCAACTGTGCCGCCTTGTCCTGCCTTGCCCCAAGTTTTTCCTCAGCACTTCAGCATCGTCTGTCCCCTTGGTTATACAACTTGGCCAAAATCGGGGCGACAGAAATATGCAGCTAAAAGCCAAAAAATCCGAAAGGCAAACGAGGGGAATCGTAAACAAAGCAGCTACCAACAAAATACAAATCGAAAGACGTGAAAAACTAAACTAAAAATATATATATATGTGTGGAAAACAACTTTTCCGCAAGAAGTTAAAGTTTGGTTGGGAAAGTGTTGAAGTACTTGGATTTCTGTTTTCCATGGTGATTGTCCTTGTTGAGGGTTTTGAGGGAATATTGAAGTATCTTCTTACGAAAAGAAGCTCTCCAATGTTGTTTAAATTTATGAAATACCTTTAAATACTACAAATTTGAATAATTTTGGTCCATATTTCTTACACAAATCTTTGCTGAACCAAATAAAGTATGAATAAGTCTTAATTTTACTACAAACCATACTTCTCTTTTCTTTATAAATATATTTTTAAGATAAAAACATCTGTTTAAATCTTTGCTTTCTTCTTAAGGCTTTTAATAATTAAAGCCATAACATATGAGATTCAAAGTCTTCCCTTTAACGCATTTTCAATCCCACTGAGTATGCTTTCAATGCCATTTATCCCATCATCGAGTTTCTTGCATCTTTTGCCTAAGCTTTGGTTACCAGTTTTCCAGAACAAAATAAAAGAAATGGAAAAAAGAACAAATAAACCACAACCTCCGGCTCACACACACAGAGAGAGTACACTCTGTGCTACTTTAGCTGACCTGGATTCCGGGGAAAATGGAAAATAGAAAAGAAAACCCACGGCAGAAGTCGACTCGGCTCCACCTGAGTTATTTGGCAAAGAGATGAAGATAACGCAACATGTGGAAGGCGACTTAGCCAAAAGCCTACCGAGAAAATCCCCACCATCCTCAATGCTTATCTCTCTGGAATCATTTGCATAATTCCTGCGATTTCGTTTTCCGGGGAAAAAAAGCAGCGCAGGCCTGATTAAGCTGGGAAATGTCAAACTATCAGTGAAAATTGAAATGGTTCACTTAATAAATGCCCGAGTGTCCTTCGCAGGATGGCAGGCTCTGGCTGATGCCGTTGGCCCGGCTAATATCTAATTTATGCAAGGACATTCCAGCCTCCACAAAAATATTTTTCGCTTTCGTGGCACAAAAAAGAAAAAAGCATGCTGCAAGGCGACGCCCTCTGCTTTTCGGTTTGATTTTAAGGCTTAGGGTTTTCCCAACGCTTCTTCTCCTCGCTCTTATTTCATTTTTTCGTTTTCGTTTTCATTCTCGTTTTTCTTTTTATTTTTATTTGTACTTTTGTTTTTTTTTTGTTGCTGCTTTCCCTATTTTGTGATTCCACTAATTAAAGCCACATTAAGCATTGCTTTTGGCCCCACACCCTCCTTGGCTATCTGTCTGCCTCAAGCTGGGGCCATGTGTCCTCGTAACATAATTATCTGAGGTCCTTGAACGCATGCGGCCCTTGGAACGAACGGTAGAATTAAAATGAAAATGAAAATGAAAATAAAAATAAAGAGGAATTAAAAGTAAGAGACAGGAAAATGGGGGAGAAAATTCCGAATGCTGGACACCATTTGAAAAAGTATTTGTACTTGCAAAATTAAATGCAAAATGGAGCGGAATGATAAAAAGCTTAGTGGCCAGGGTCGAATCTGCTGATGGTGAGGGATCACAATTTATCTGGTTATGCAATTTAGCAAAAGGGTTGCTCCCAACCAAAAATAGGGAGAGGAAAAAGGTCTTAAGCATTTTCCCGAGTGAACTCAAGTGACAGGTCGAGAGCTTTTGAGCCAATCCAGTGGCTACGCCTTCATGATTGATGGACAAAGTTGGAGTGAAATTATTATGTATAGATGGGAAGGCTAATTCCAAATTGGATACCCAATCCTGGCCCCCACCAAAAGCTGGCAGAAGATAGCACTCACCTGATGCTTCCGGCCGCTCTGTTAACCAAAAACCCGTCCAAACAATCTTGAGTAAATTAAATGCCACACTTGAATGCAAATTGGAAAAGCTCTCAGACAAAAGCAGCAAGTGGCTGAGTGGCAGCTGCAAATCTTCACACGATTATTGACACCCCCAGGCATATGCCTTATATATTTGAATACTTTGTCTTTTATTCCCGATTATTACGGCAGATTTATTTGGGAAATATTTATGCAAAATACGTGAGCACAAGTCTTTAATCTTGAGCCGAGTAACTTTTGCCAAAATTGTTTGATAAGCAGAAAATTGAAAGGCAAAACTTTATAGACAAACAATCACACAAAGAGAAATAATAATTTCTTTTCTTTTTTTTGAAACTTTTTCCATCATAAGTTTGCAATTTCCTGTCTTTATAGTCTTTTTGAAAATCAATAAAACATGTTAAGAGTGTGAAAGAAAATTTGCTTTTGAATGGGTGATAAGAAAAAAGGAACTCGTTAAAAAATAAGATATTAAGAGCCTTAAAAATGTGTCTAAATTAAAGATTTTAGATTGAAGAGTTAAGTAAAGAACTTTACACTGAATTCAGTACCTTTAAAATGTAACTGAATACTTTTAGACAGCTTTTTAAGAGGATTTTCAAAGCACCCTTAATTATGTTAAGCTAAAAGAAACAAAAAAGAAATCATTTTCTTTGAGCTTCATAAGGTATAAAATTTATTTCTGTGCATTACACAGACACACAGCATTCGCTCTTTCACACTTGATACAAAACAATGCCAAGTGTAGGAAGCACTTCAAGGGGGGTGGAACTACTATAGAACAATGCCAAGACACTTCCAGTGCACAATGACAAATACATTTTCAAGGGGAAACCCCAGCCAGGAGATGGAGAATGAGAGAGATACGTAGAGCATCAAAGACAACGAGAAACCCATTTGTTTTCACAGACATTTGCGCTTCCAACTCCTTCAGTCGCTTTGCGAATACCTTGGCAAATACAATGGCGGCGTGGTGGTGCGCGAAATTTTTCACCACCCGCATGGGGAAAATGGAAATAATTTTGCATTCTGGACATTTGAGACAAAGGAGCAGCCAGCGAGAATGATTGTGGCATAAAGGGCTTTGAGCCAAGGCTAATTCACATTTGAAATCTATCCATTGTTTAGTCAAATATTGAATAAGTATAGGTATGCTTAAAGTTTCACAACCGTAGTTTATGCAACTTTAATTTAATCTACATTTTAGTCATAGTTTTATATGTTTTAGTTTGAAATAGGGAAAAACAAATAATACCTAAATGAATTAGCAAATAAGTCTCTGGTATTTATTTATCTATAACTAAAATACATATGAGTAGTGAAAACATTTCATACTTCATATTAAACTAACATGAGTTGCACAGACTGTAATTAAGTTCACTTTGCCTTGGGCAAGCTTATCTATTTAATAACACCTAAACATTATATATTGTATTTACCTTATTTAACATTTACAAAGTGCCTTAAGAAATTTAAGCAACACAAAGAAACACAATTTTGTCGCTTCAACTGTTTGCGTTGCCTCCCATTCATTACCCATTCGCCCCGTATGAATAATTTCGTACGGCAAAACGGACATTACTCATACGACCCGTGCACTGCCTGTCGCGACTCTCCAGTGAACAAATGAACTACAGCACGAGCTCGGAGATTAATATGCAACCCACTTCGTCTTCCTTTTTGCAGTCACCACCGTTGAGCCGAACAACATGTATACGACCTGTATACCCATCGGTGGAAACTACTCGGGTGGCGGTGGTGGTGTCTTTGCACCCACCACCCTGGCGAATGCCTCCTCGGACACTCTGGCCTCTGGTTTCGAGGCGGCCGGATATGCAGCCTATTCCACGGCTCTGAGTGTGACAATTGCCATCGGTTGCAGTCTGCTCATACTTAATGTCCTCATTTTTGCCGGCGTCTATTACCAGCGGGATAAGACGCGGTTGGAGGTGAAAACCCTACAGAAGCAGTATCAGCAACGTAGCCTACACCAGCAGGTACCATATCCACCCGAACCCATCAAGCATGCCCACTACCACATGGGTCACTCGCAGAGCTCCGCCAATGTCATTGTGGACGTGGAGAGTCATCAGGATCAGGCGGGTCAGGCGGCCATGTTGTTGCAAGCAGCAGCAGCGGCGGCAGCAGCGGCAGCCAACGATGTGAAGGCACCGCCACCGCATATATGCTCCAATACAGGTGAGTACGAATGTGGTTTTTGGTTTAAAGAAGTTAATTAAGATAGTTCTTGGTTCAGTTTGATAGAAAAGAGAGATTTCTTGGGGCTAGGTATTCTTCTAAATATTATTTATACTTTTATTTCCTTTCTTTTCCTTTCACAGGCATGCAACAGCAGGTGGGCGGCGGCAGCGGTGGTGCTTTGAACAATGGCGGTATTGAGGGTGGCAAGGTGACCACCGACACCATGGGCAATGTCACCTACAGCACCAGCTCCAAGCAGCAGCAGCAACATCAACAGCAACAGCAGCAGCAGCAACAACGTGAGCATATGCAAATCAAGGGAATGACAGGCACGCAAACCTTTGGACGCACTGGCTCCGGTTCGGCAAGTGGAGTTGGCGGTGGCTCCTCTTCTGGCGGTGCCTCCGTTGTGGTCTCCGGCAGCAGTGTGAGTTACAATCCTGGAATGATGACGCTGCCCAAGTCGGGGGGATTGCATCATGCGGCCACTTTGAACTATGCACGCAACACGGCCGCCTTGAATTTAGCAGGCGGCGGCACTGCTCTGGTGGATAGTCGCGGGAATGTCCTGCTCACGAGCACCGCTGTGGGTCCTGGTGCTGGCGGCGGATCCTCTGGAGGCAGTGGCAGTGGTGGTGGTGGTGGGGACTGCATGACGCTGCCACGTAATCTTAACCTGGCGGGCGCAGGACGACACAATCCCACGACAGGTGAGTGCAACAAAACTATATATAAGTTGAGGAGGCAACAGCCAAAGGATATGCAATTGAATTGCGTTTTGCAGTTTCCCCAAAAAGTTGCAAGTTTGTTTTTCGCTTTTCACATCTCGAAGCGCTCAGCTCAGCGCCAGGACGAAGCTACAATATTGCGGGAGGCAGCAATCAAGTTGAAATGTGATAAGATTTCATTTCATTATGAAGTGCTTGTTTCCCTTTCCCGGCTTCGCACCTCCCAACAACCGATTCTCTGGTTCTCCACTCGAGTCTCTCTCTCTCTGTGTCTCTGTGCTTCTTCGAGTCTGGTTATTCGATTTCAAGCAAATGAATTCGAGATTGAAAAGCTTTTGTGAGAGTTCACACTCGGCAAGCAATGCCAATGGTAAAATACAGTTTGCATTACAATCAGGCAGGATGCGGTTTAGCTGTGAGAATGTATTCGATTTTGCTCGATACGGAATATCGTATAATGGAAAGTAAATATGAAATCCGTTTTAGTAGTAGCAAAAGATTTATGCAGGGTAATAGTTGCTCTTAAATCCAATGTTATATTAGAGATTTCATTTGAATTTAACAAGGATTTATCAGAAAAAATATGTTATTTGTATTATATTGTTTACTTGCGAACTGAGCCTTTATTTTCCATAATTAATAAACAAAAACTTAAGTTTGGAAAAGCACTAATAAGGCTTAAATTGAGCTCTTATCTACTGATTAAAATTTAATAACAATATCTTCCATTGAATAAAATATCTCAAAGTTGTACACAAGATTTCTTAACTCACTTTCAATGGCTGCTCTTTAAGTCCTTAAATCCAAACAATGGGTTAATGGATGACTAAAGGCTCCCCGTTCATGGCTAACTGGTTGTCAGGGGGAACAAAAAAAGGACGAGCATGACAGTGGAATGTTGGGGACCTGTCAGGGTCTACGCCGCCCACATACACATAAATTTCCTGCTAAATCATCCCGAGCAAACGAAAATATTGCTTAATCAAATTGAATGACCTTCGTGCCCAAAGGTCTGACGTTGCAAAAATCAAAAAAAAAAAAAAAAACGACAATGTCCGCGTGAAAATTGAAATTGTTCTAATCAGCCATCGAGGAGGTTGTTTCATCCTTGTTTTCTGTACTTTGTTTTTTTGTTGGTCCGGCTAACACGTGTTATTGAATCATTGGAAAGGAAAAACGAAGCACCAAGAGGAAAAACGAGATGAGAAGACCGGGAAAAACATTTACGCTTCGCTGGGGTTCAACGGACTTTTGACTTCTGACCACACAGACAGCGAGAGAGCGAGGCTGGCCCAAAAAAAGAAAAAAAAGCCCGTAATCCCGGTTTGTCGACTTGGTCTGCGAAACGGAAATTGTTGTACAAATTATGCTCCACTTTTTTTAGTGTATTTCCCGTGGGCTTCTGTTGCTTGATGAGCTGTTAAATGCGATGGGTGGCCGCCCAGTGGTACTCCCCCAGCTATTGACAGTTTTTCCCAGCCATCACGCAATAAAGTCGTTATGGGGCCACTTCAAGAAATATGCCCCCCAACTAATAAATCTCCAATATAAATGGCAAATAAAATAAAGATTCAAGTTGCGATTGTATCCAAGTCACGACATGATTTTTATGATAAGATTTTCAATTTCAATCGCCAGACAAAATTGTAACGATAACGATAAAGCAAATCTGTTAGCGAGCTTACAACTTCACTATATTTCACCCTTCGCAAAGGTATATCGCCGGCAGTAAAACAACTCAATAACCATGAGCTCTGTGAACCGGATTAAGCCAATAAAAAGTACAACAAATATAACAAAAATCGCATAAAACTGTTGGTTTTAGTTTAGCATAATAAAATGAAAACATTAACCGAACCAGCGGTGTAGAATAAGTTAAGAGCGCGGCAACCCCACCAACTCTGCATACGGAATTATGTGTATTTTATATTTGCGGTACCCGCAGTGGAAATCCCTCCAAAATCCTCAATCCGCTGGCATATTTCAGTTCATAAATACAATTTCAGCAATCGATGGCAAATAAAAACAAACAATCCGATGCCGGTCAAACGGTGCAGACAACACAGGTCGACAAACCCCAATTGTTTTTTCAAATAACAAAAACTGTTTGTTTCTGAACAATTCATCCCGGCTGAACCTGACAGATGAGGGAACTCATTTTAATTTTCCATAAATAAATTAGGGTTGAAACGGCTGAAAATACCAAGCATTTAGCATGGGTTTGACAGATATTTTATTCCAGAAAAGGAGCACAATTTTTAAGCAAATTTAAAAATAAAGAGCTAAAGAGAGGTGATTTTCCGATTTATTTTGTATAGATTGAAAACATTTATTTTGTATAGATTGACAAAATAAATACAATTTATTTGCAGGTTTTGTCTATGTTTCTTTGACATATTATTCAACTTAATTATTAAAAGGTTTATTTCTCAATTTAATAAGTTTAAAAGCAAGTAAGTTTATAGATTTTAACCTACCCAAAATTAACTTAAACTGATACCTTTTTCCTCCCCAAATTCAGTTTTCCATAAAAAGCTTTACCCGATATATTTATTTTAGGAAAAATACATGGAAATGTGAAAATAGAAATCCCATAAACTGTAAATCCATTCAATCAAAAAATTTGCACTCAATTTCCACCTTTTCAACCCACTCAAATCACAAACCTATTTTCCAAGAACCAATTTTCATAGACGAGAGGTTTTAAGGGAATCCAATTTTTTAGCTACTTGAGCAGGTTTATGCACTTCTATTTTGTCAGCTCGCTCACTAATTGCTGGTCGATAATGGTGAAAAGGTGGAAAATGCGGAAAGCAAGTTCGACTTGAGCCAAATTCACATTTTCATTGGATTTGCTGGGCAAAAGTGAGTTCTCTTTTTATTTTCTTTTTATTTATTTATTTTTTCTTTGTATTTGCATAGAATATTTTGTTGCTGATTTAATTTTACGCTCGCGCCATAACGGAAGCGGAAATTCGTAGTGGTTAAGTGGGTCTGGTGGGCGTGGCACTTGACGATGTTTTCGCTGATTATAAGGATAATAATGATGATGATGATGACAAAGGATGAGGATGCCGATGGCATAGCCATCAGGTGGCAACGTTGTCGGAAGTGGCGAGTGTTTCTCTGTTGGCATTTTGAGCGCTCTCTGCATTATTTATAATTATTGCGAATTTTCATATAATTATGCGTGGGCGCATATTTTCAGCAGCATCTTTTCCTGACGCTCAATTTTCCTCTCCATGCTTATATGTATATATATTTTGAGTTTTCTCTTTCCTGTCAGTTATTTATTTAAGCAGCAAATTTTTCTTTTTGCCGGTCAGAGAGAGAGACCGAAGGAGGACTATAAATATTAAAGTCAACGGTAGTTTGTGTCTGGGCGAGAATCCTTGTGTAATTAATGTTTGTTCTGAGATTTTTGTCCGCTTAAGGCACTCAAGTGGCACATTAAACTCATTGCTGTTGTTGCCGATGCCGTTCCTGTTGCCTTCACTTGGCTCCTGTGTTTGCGAAATGCCTGTGGATTATGTGAGTTTGCTGACATTGTTGAACGGCAGTTAAATGGCTCATTAGGTTAAGTTGCTTTCACTTCAAATTGTGTTGCCGGCTCAAGTTTTTGCCAGAATATTGGCAAAAGATTTCATAATTTAATTCGAGGTTAAGTTCATCTTTTGTTTACTTTAACGACTCAGGCAGGCAATATTCAAGCATGAAATTCAATGTGTTGCTCAGGATATAAAGTGTATTTAATTAAGATTAAATCTTGGTAAATATTTATATTCTTTATTAAATAGAAAGGAAGCTTAGGTAGATTGTTGTTTGTTGTTTTAAATTTTAACAAACATTTAAATCTTACAACAAATTCAACGACGTATATGTATTATTCAACCCTTTAAATATTGTGCAGTGAGTTGTAAGACTTTAATATAAAATTTTACCCTTTATATATTTCGGAATTAGCTGTAAGATTTAAATACTTGTTTAATTTTAAAATATATTAAATAAATGTAAGATAAAATTCAACAAAATTTGCTTCAAATCATAACCCTTTCTAGTGGCCATTGCATTCCAATATAATTTAATTTTCGGAATATTTATCATAAATGTAAATGGAAAAACAAGTGTTAAATTTTCACCTTTTTTCACCCTTCATAAATCATGTGGAAAAGCTTTACACACACACAGACCACACCCACACTAGAGTTAAGCGTTCAATTTACGGACTTGCAAAGTGAATTGGAAAATGTGTTGCCAACTTTTAGGGGCAATCTGAATGCCCGTGTATTAGGTTTGCTCTACAAAATAGAAAAAAAAAAAGAAAAATCAACTTTGTTTGGCAAAATTTTGATTAGAAAGAGACTTAAAACTAAGCTAGCCCCATGCATACATGAATGGGAATTGAGAACTGGGTCCGTTCAATCGATAAAAATCCTTAGTCAGCATTTTTTTGGGGCCTTAATCATTTTCGATTCAACTTTCGTTGTTTTTTTTATATTTTGATTTTGTGCAATGGTTTTGAGCTCTTTGAAGCCAGCGTTAAGCACTCAAAGTGAGGCTTTTTTATATTTGTTCTTTCTTTTTTTTTCCTCTGCGCTACAGTATTTTTTCAATTTATTTAGATTTATACTTTGCATAGAGAGTTTTGGCGGATGAGCCCAGAAATGAAGGAAATATAAAAGAGCCGACCTCAGACAAGTGCAAAAAAATGAGAGCAAGCAAGTGAGCAGGAACAAAAAAATCAACGAAATTGAGTAAAAACAATGAAGCGTAAACGATTTTTGCTGACATGTAGTATGTGAAAAGGGAGGGGTGCAGGAGCAACAAAAAAAACCGGCATAAATATAATAAAAATAAGGCAGCAAACAAAAAGGCAAACGCGAGTTGCCTGTTAAGCATCTCAAACAGGGCCAAAAGTATGTACAATTGAGGTTAACCAATTAGTACTCAAAAAAGAAAACTATCCAGAGTGCTTCATACAT